AAAGAGTAGCTCCAGGATAAATTAGAATCACAGATTTTTTTTTTGGTGGTATACAGTAAATATTTAATTGCTAATAACTGACATGACCTTAGAGGTCATTCAGACCAATCCATTCATGTTACAGTTGAGGAATCAAAATTCCACAAAGTGCCCAAGGTCACTCAGTGACAATGATGGAACTGGAACTGGGATCTCTACAGACTCCCATAGTCTAATACTCCTTTCACTACGTTGTACACTTGTGCCTCAAAGTGCATAACACCATAGATGAGCAATCCGTTCTCCATTCAGTATCGGAAGTGATTTTGCAGTCTCATCATGTCACTCCCCCACTCAGCAAATTCAAATGACTTCCTATGTCCTCCAGGAGCACATATAAATGCTCGGGCATTTGAAGCCCTTCATAACCTAGCCCCCTTCTATTTTCCAAGCTTCTCACTTCATCTCACTCTTTCACTGTCTTTACATTAATGGAAACCTGACTCTCAGGAAAACATGAAATGGCTAGGACACCCTCTCCAGTCACTGCTGGCTGTGACTTCTTTCAAGTCCTCCTTTCTTTTTCAGCTCTTCCTTCATCATCCAGTGATTTAGGAGGAAGAATCTACATTATCTCCGTTCCCCATTGTTACTTTCAGACTCTCTCCCTTTGCTCCTATCCTGGTCTCCTTGCTGTTGTTCCTCAAAAAAGACCCTCCATCTTCTGACTTCAAGCATTTTCACTAGCTGACCCCATGCCTGGAACGCTCTTCCTCCTCATTGCTACCTCCTGGCTCCCTTCAATCCAAGCTAAAACCTCACCTTTTACAGGAAACTTTAATTTTAGTTTAAGAGCCTCTTTAATTTTAGTTCCATCCTTCTATGGATAATTTCTTATTTATTCTGCATATAGCTTATTACATAGTTGTTTTCATGCTGTCTCCCCCCAAAATACTGTGAATTTCTCAAAGGGTGACTGCCTTTTGAATTTCTTTGCATCCCCAGTGCTTAGAACAGTGTCTGACACATAACAGGCCCTTAGCAAATATTGATTGACTGACTACTAACGGTTCCCTCTTCTTTCAAAGGTTCATTCCATACATCTCTATCACCTTGTACAGATTCTTGTTGATATAATCGATTAGCCTTCAGGTCACTCCCTCTTCCTTTCTCAGGGAGTTTACTTTTTATATTGATTTCTAATTAAGAAAATCTATTTTCTCTCCCTCTAAACTCTCACCCCATTTGGGAAAAAGGAAAAATGAATTCTTTGTAATAAGAATACATAGGCAAGCAAAATGAATTCCCTTATTCTGAGTTCAAAATGCATACATCTCATTCTACACCCTGAATCCATCACCTTTCTATCAGAACGTAAATTGGATGTTTTATCATACATCCTCTAGAATCATGGCTGATCAGTGCATTATTCAGTACCTGGCTTACAGCTTTCTTCTCTTCCCCAACCCCAATTCTCTTATTTGGAGGTTTGGATAGACATGTAGGTCCTCCCTTGAACACCTTAGTCTCAAGGTTCATCACCTTTAACCTCCATCTCTACATTCCATCTCATCCATCGACAAGGCAATCATACCTTAATTCTACTCATCACCCATAATTTTCCACTAACATGTCCTTAAACTTTCAAATTCCCCACTTTGATAATCATCTCCTATTCTTTCATCTTTCCCTTTTTCTCAGTTTTCCTAAACCTATTATCTTCACCACAATCTCTAGTCCAATTCCCCTCTCAGAAAATCATTCCTGTTCTTCATTTTCCTCCCTGTAACCTTAATCTTGTGGTTAACCAGTTCAACTACATACTGTCATCTCACCTGAGGTACTGGTCCTCCCTAAACACCCTATATACCCCTAAACAACAAATGCTTATTGACTAATAAAGAAGATATTGTTTTCTTTAATCTGGTGTAAACGCCTGTGCTAACAAGGACAAATATTTTCCCTTGTAACAATTTAAGCATCCTCCTTTGTTATAATGAGTACCTTTTCCCCTCTGTGTGCTATACTTGCTCATGGCAAAACTGTCTTGTAAGAAACACACTGTCTCTATCTTCTCTTTTTAATCTCTGGAGAGAACATATGTATATGTTTATAATCAATACACCTATGTATATGTTTATATATACATATATGCATATATATATGTTATATATGTATACATTGTATTATGTGTGGAATTCATCTGCTATCACACACACATCCATCACCTACTGATGGTGTGCAACATGCTTTTGAGTGAATAAACAGACTGCAGTTTACCTGTCTGTATTTCATTATCCTAGGCTTATTCGAGCAGTAGCAAGTAAGAACCCCCAAAATTCCAGCAACGCTTCCCTTTCATTTTTAAATTTCTAGAAATAATCATTATGCATTCTGCTTCCACATCTACTTCTCAAGCCCTTGCAAACAGGCTTCTGACTCCATCCCTTGCCCAAGACTACTTTCTCAAACATGACCAATATTCTCAACTGCTAAAAACCAATGGCTTTTTTTCTTTACTCTTCATATTCTTTGACTTTTCCAAATTTTTTATGTTGTTGACAAGCCCCTTCTGTTTATACACTCCTCTCTACCTCTGCCTTCTGTGACACTTCTCCCTTCCAGCTCTCCTATCTGTCAAACATTCATTTTTTTCAGTCTTACTGGTTCATCATCCACCCCCTGTTTGATAACCATATTCTCCAAAGGTTTTTGCTTTTCTCTCTCTGTTTCCCTTGGTTATCTCATTCTACCAACATGGATTCAATTATCTCCAAGCAGGGATTCTACACTTACCTAATAGGCCCTAATGTCTCTCCTGAATTTTAATTCTGCATCAAAAAATTGTCAGCTAGACATCTCCAGTAGGCTGTCCCATCAATACTTCAAATCAAAGATACTGATAATAGAATTTAACTTTTCCCTAAAACTCACTACAGTATCCATATTTCCCAAATTACTTTGTATTTATTTTGCACATATTCTACTTCCACGTCTATATATTGTCTCTCCCATTGGAATGCTCCTACAGGGCAAGAACTGTTTTGTCTTGTCTTTGTATTTCCAGCACTTAATATGCCCTCTCCCAAGGAAACCTGGACTCTGTCCCTGGTGCCCTGGTTTCTGAGAGGTGAGCTTTTTCATCCTAACTGGACTGGAAACAAGCCTCCATTTCACTTTTCCAAACCTTGCCAATTCACACATACTCCATTCTAAAGGGGGAAGATCCCTGAGCTTACTTCCCTAGGTGTGTATCCCAAGTGCATAGTCCAGTGTCTGGCACATAACAAGTACACGATATATAATTTTCCATACATATATACACCTGGCACATGTTTTCGTAATTACTGTTCAGATAGTCACATTCAACTCTTCATGAGTCCATTTGGGATTTTCTTGGCAAGGATACTGGACTGGTTTGTCATTTCCTTCTACAGCCCATTTTACAGATGAGGAAATTGAGGTAAACAGAGTTAAGTGACTTACTTAGGGTTATACAGCTAATAAATGTCTGACGCTGGATTTGAACTCATATCTTCCTGACTCCAAGCCTAGCACCTCTATCCACTGTGCCACCTAGCTGCCCTAGATCTGGCACATAGTAGACACTTAACAGGTCTTTGTTGATTGATTGATCTCAAATATCTCCATTTCTGGTAGGCTATTCCCATCCTTCCAATCACCAGGGTTCACAACCTAGAATTCATCTTTGGCTTTTCACACTTGCCCCATAGACCTAATCAGTTCTCAAGGCTCATCAGTTCTATGTAGAGAACAGATCCAAATCCTAATCCCTCTAGGCCTCAGTTTTCTTATTTCTAAAATACAGGAATTGTACAAAGTGATGTAAAAGGTCCCTTCCATGGATCTTTAGAGGTCTGTGACCAGCATTTTAAACAGTGAATAGTTAGGATTAAGTGGTTCCTTACGGTAAAGCACCAGTTTAAAATACGTTAACTTGTTCAAATTGTGAATATATCATCAGCAGAAGAGGTTTTTCATCAAAGAAAAGATAATGTCTCTGAAAACCTACAAAGCATCTTCACTACTGAAATTATATCTTGGTAAGTCTACCATTTAAAAACAATAGCCTTGATTTCATTTTTGTCCTCTACATTTTAATTTTCAAATATTTGAATTCTTGAGAGTTGCTCACAGATCAGATTTCTCTTCTGTAAGGATTCTCTCCATTAAGGGACACCTCCCCCAAACTAAGAAATCTGATACGGGTAAAAGTATTAAGACTAACGGATAATCTTATCTGCTCAGATTTTTCAGAAGAATTAAAATGCTTACACTCAAATCTATTAAATTTAGCACTGATACTTACCACAACAAAGATCAAAATTAATATCATTTCCACAGATTAATAATTACTCAGAAATAGCTTTGACAAAGTATTTTCAAATTGCCATATCAGTAGGACAAAGCGTGGGGTAACAAAAAGTGCACCAGGCTGGGATCTAGGAGACAGACATTCTAGTCATTCTAGTCCCAACTGGCCAAAAAATGATCTGTGTGTCCTTGGGCAAACCATTTCTCTGGGTTTTAGTTTTCTCGTTGGTAAAATGAGGAACAAGAAAGTTGGAAGAAACAACTTCTAAGGGCTTCTCTCCCTCCCCCTAGCTAGAATGTTCTCTGAAAATTGCTCTAAATAATTTTTTTTGAACATTGGAAAATGTCATAATGGGTGGCTGTAACTCATAATGGACTGTTGTATTCAAAATCAGGTTCCTGGAAATGAGTCACAGAAGTCAACAATTAGCTTTACAGTGACATTTTAAAGAAATGTCAACTGCACCTCTAATGCACCTGTTTTGTTTGGCACTGAAGGTATTTTCTAAAGCAACCTATTCTCATGAAGAACATGTTTATTTACTCCCTTCCTGCAATCAGTAGAGGAGAGTGTTTTGTAACTGATGTTATAATGGATGATTCAGGTCAGGAAGTATGACCTAAAAACATCTAAAAACAAAATCAATGGAACCCTTGTTTTTCAAAAACATGGTAGATGGTTTTACCGAGCCAGATGAAGAACAGCTTCCACAACATTAGAGCCTTCTTTAGCACTTGTTTCACAGAATAAGGCACCATAGGTCTGGGGAGAAGAAACACATTCAACAGTTACACAGAAGGCCAGGCTTTTCTAGGAATTTCAGCATTTTAATCAAATAAATCCTTAGAGTAACTAACTTGATCTGAATACCTGCCCATAAATTTCTTGTTTCATTTTTTAAGGGATGACTATAATTTGCTAAAGATTTTCAAAGACTTTGAATGCACAAGGGAGGAATACCAGGGTTATATGGATTACAGATACAGTTATATGGTCTGAGTGTTGGAATTAAGTGCCAGAAGGAGAAGACCTGAGTTCAAATCCAAACTTAAAAACTTATTAGCTATGTGACCGTAGAAAAGTTATTTAACTTTTCTTGGCCTCAGTTTTCTTCATCTGTAAAACGAAGATAATTGCAACTGTCTCAAAGAGTTGTTAAGAATCAAAAGTGTTTTGCAAACATCAAAGTTATGTAATTACTATCATTATTATTATTATTATTATTATTATTATTATTATTATTAAGGAGGTGGAGGATGTTCTATAAGAAGAAAAAATTTGGTGATCTTTTCTTGGGCTTTAAAATTATCATTCCCAGGATTCTCATCTTTGAAACCTCAGAGTTACCTCAGACTCTTTTCCTCACCGTCATGCCATATACCCCATCAGCTAGTAAGTTCTCCCAATTTACTTTCACATCTCCTGCATCCATCTCCTCTTCTTAACTCCCACAGCACCCTATTATGGTCCCTCACCTGAACAACTGAAGTAGCTTCAACACACTTATCCCTCTCCCCATCCTCTCTCCCCAGCAATCCATCCTTAATATCAGTGGCAGAACCTTTCAAAAATAATCAATCAATAAATATTTATAAGCACCTACTATGTGCCAGGCACCGTGTTAAGTGCTCTTTCATAGAATCTGGGAATTCGAAGAGACTGATCTAAGCACAGAAGGAAAGCCCACAATAAATAACAGAAGTGACATTGACCATCAAATCTCTATATGCAGACATCCAAGGAGGGAGAACCCAGCACTTCTGAAAGCAATTCATTGCACTTTTATATCCCATGGTCTAGCATGGTACCAAGCACATACTAGGCTCTTAATAAGTCCTTGCTGGTTGATTAGAATAGCTTTAATTGTTAAGAAGGTTCGGTATTTGTTTTTTGTTTTTAGATACAACGTCAAGCCTCAATTTGCCTCAGCAATTTCTATGGATTGTTCCCATCTCTGGAGCCAAAGACAACATTATAAAGGGTATGACAGTGACCCATGTTTGTGTTCTTCGTTCCCTAAGGCCAAGGCATAATGCCTCTAAATGTATCTTTCCCAGTGCTTCTCTATAATAAAGCAGGTCAAATACCTGAGTCTTATTTTCTGGTTAAATACCATGAAATCCTTCAACCAGGACTCATGAACTCCAAGTCCTTCACTAGTCTGTTAACCTTTCTCTAAACACTCTCTCTCCACCTTACCAATGTCCTTAAGCTGTGGTGGCTAGAACTGAATGTGATACTCTGGATGAGGTCTGACTGGGACAGAGTAGAGTTCTCACCTCTTCATTCCGGAAGCTCAAGATCACATCATGCTCTCTTAAGCACAGGTCATGGCATCTCCATTGCATTTGTTCACTGATTCCCTTCTGCCTACCAAGTAAAGCTTAAATTCCTTTTCTTAGTATTCAGGGTCTTCCACAAACCTATACCACTTCACTTTTTCTTTCCAGTCTTATCTCATATAACTGTCCTTCAGGCCCTCTTTGCTTTGGACTGTTTCTATCTGCTCTTCCTAAAACATTTTTTCAACTTGAGCAGTGGATAAAACACTAGGCTCAGGATCATGAAGATCCATTTACTCAAATAATTACTGTGTGACCTTGGGTAAGTCATTTAATTTCTCTCAGTCTCCATCTTATCATCTGTAAAATGGGGATAAGAATAGCTGGTTCATGGGGTTGCTATAAGAATCAAATCAAATGAGATAACATGCATGAAAGTACTTTACAGAGTGCTGGCTGTAATTATTGATGTGGTTGATATTATTGATATATTGTTGTTGAATTCCTAGGCATTCTTTAAAGCCCAAGTCAGTTGTTTTCTCTTTGCATGAAGCCTCTTATTTCAGCTTCCCATTTGGCAATACCCTTATCCCAATTAGACTTCTCATATACAGCATTTGGTTACTTTTCAGCAGATTGCAAGCTCCTTAAATGCAGAGACCCTTTTTTTGTTGTTGTTCTGATTTCGTATCTCCAGCACCTAGCAAAGGGTCTTGAACATAACTGGTGCTTAAAACAGGGTATCCCAAAGTTTGGTGCCATTTCAATCTATTAACAACTAAAACTGCACTAAGACTTTTGGGACACACTCAACATTTCTAATTCACCAGCAAACTACATACTTGCCATGTAAATTTGGGCAGAAGACAATGACCTGTGTTTGTGTTCTCTTTTTTTTTTGTTCTCTTTTGTGTTTCTCCTTTTTTTTTTGTTTTCTCTTTTCCCCCAAATGCTGATATTTCTCTAAACCTCACAGTTTATGAAGTACTTTTCTCACCACAACCCCTCTGAGACAGTTATCAGAAGGATCATTTTATAGGTGAGGCAGCTGAATGAAGCTCATAAAAAGTGAGTTGTCTTGCCCAAAGTCACATGACTAGTAAGTCGCAGAATCACAACTCCAAAGAAGGACTCCATGTTGGACTTTTCCACTAGGGGTGCTCTGCCCCAGCAACAAAGTCTCATACTAGGTAGGTAAGTAACCACTGGGAAATTGCTGCTGGCAAGTAATTGACTGTCATAGGCTTGCTTCCTTCTCCATATTTGCATCCCCAATGCATGGCACACAGTAGGTTCTTAATAAATGCTTGTAGATTACTATTCAGTGATACTCAGGAGGGTTAAAGAAAGAAAGGGCTAGGGTTCCACATTTTTGCTCCCTTGAATTATTTTCTTTGATAGGCTTCAGTCAAGATGCTACACTCTCTTCCCCTATACAATCTGTCTTTCTTTACCTTCTGCTTTTGTTCTTCGAGGGCAGCTAGGAGGTACAGTACCAATCCTGAAGATTCATCTTCCTGAGTTCAAATCTGCCCTCAGATATTTAATAGCTGTGTGACCCTGGGCAAGTCACTTAACTCTGTTTGCCTCAGTTTCCTCATCTGTAAAATGAGCTGGAGGAGGAAATGGCAAACCACTCTAGTGTCTTTGCCAAGAAAACCCAAATGGGATCACAAAGAGTCAGACTCAACTAAATGAGAAAACAACAAATGTTGCTGAATACTGTTTGTTTCTGTGTTATCATGTAATCTGAATTACTAAAATCATTTCTGCCATAACGAACGTCTAGGGTGCTGCGTGTCTATTCCGCTTATTGGTCAGGAGCTAACTCAGGGTTCTCCAGCTCCTCATTTGTAAAAATGAATTAAGTAACATCCTAAGGTCACCTCCCGCTTATGGCCCTATGATTTAGTAGCCTAAAAGATACCAAAGTCAATAAACAAGCATTTAACTAAGCAAGTACCATGCGCCAGGCACTGTGCGTAAAAAAAAAAAAATCAAACAATCCCTACTCACAATGATTTTACATTCTAATGAGTCAGTTGAGAGAACTGATTCAAAACTGTTTTATGTAGAAGAGACCAGAGTTCTGCCCTGAGTGAGCAAAACAGAAAGAAGGTTACCAAGAAAGATTGGAAATCTGACTCAGAGCACAGCAGTGTGGATCCATAACAGCTTGAAATGACATCCACGTACGTATGTACATACTGAATTCAACATTTTGTTGACACTCTGGGCACTCTCAGTTGTATTCAGTGTGCTTAGGCCATCGTGTGCTTAACCATGACCGAAATGGGTAAGATAATCTATGCTTTTGCATCTAGATTGAAGATCTCTTGTAATCTGTATTCATTGTTGATCTTACCATGGCCAGTTTTTCTCCAAAATGTTTTGGTACACATTGCTGTCCCTGGGCCAAAGCTGCTTCACAAAGATCTGCCTTATTTCCCACCATCATAATTGGAATTGTTTCATGCGCTGCATCCTACAAAAGGAAAGAAAGGGAAAAAGAGAGAGAAGGAAAGGGAGAGAGAGGAGTCAGGGAGATCTTTTATATACATACTTCTACTCTTTATGTATTACTAATAATAAAGGGGATAGGCATTGGCATAATTGCATGTTTACAGCTAAAAATCTAACTTCTTATTTTAAACGCAAAGGAAACAGCAAGCAAAGACTAATTCAAGAAACATCCCTGCATTTAAATATTAAATTGGGCTGTGAGTCACACAGTAACTACCTGGAACCTCCACTTGAAACAATGGTAATTAGATGGCAATTCCCATTAACGCCAATACATAATATACAATCAATCAATCTCATAATTACCTTGTGACATCAATGGAACTGGAATTTCATACTTAATTATCATCCAGTTCGTGGGACAAAAAAAAAAAAGAAACAAAGGAACACAACAGAAAACAGAGGCCTAATGGTCATAATCTGTTCTTACATAGAAACCACCATTCAGGGTAACGGGTTGAGTTAATGTACAAAAAGCTTTTTGAAAACCTTAGAGCACTTTATATAACAATCTCTACTATCATATAATCTTCAAATCACAAGATATGTGAATTAGGTACACTTACCAAAAGTTCCACTTGGATTACAAGCTAAGGTTACATACAAGATGTCCCAAAAATCCTAGTATAGTTTTAAGCTTTAATAGGTTATAACTGAATGCTTTTGAATGCTTTCTACCATATAAGTATGCACATATACACATAATATACTCATATTCTCTCTCTCTCCTCTCTCTCTCTCTCTCTCTCTCACACACACACACACACACACACACACACACACACACACACACACACACAAACTTGGATATTTTCCTATGGGTCCTATGTCATATTCTTTCCTAAACTACCCAATGGCAGAAACTATTTGGGATCCTATATATCTAGGGAACCACAGAGTCAGAAGCGGGCAGGGAGAAGAGAGTAGTAGTACTAAATCGCTCAAACATGCCTACCCTCTACATTCGAAGTCTCTTGATATTTGCCTATAAATTCATTTGAATAAGAATATATCAAAAGCCTTCAATGTTTTTTCCCATTGCCAGTAGAGCAGCTAAACCAAGTGCTTCAAAAACTTGCTACTACATAATCCATTTTTGCACCAGTACATCCTCACTCTGTGGGATCCCACAAACCTGGATTAGTTTTATGTAGTCAACTCTTATCACGTTAAGAACAATCTAAGAGTCCTGGACTCAGATTTGTAAGAAAGGAAGGAGCCACAATGAGATCATCCCAGTTGGACAGAAGGCTGCATTGAGCTAGAGTTCACATTTGGTCTTAAGAGTAGGCTGAAGTTCGGGGTAGGGGAATTTGAAAAGCCATACAGTTCAGTACAAGTTTAAATACAGTGGCTGAAGGCCACCAAGCATTTGATGCCACTTCTAAATGCTTCAGCAAAAGGAGCCCTAAGGGAGAAATAGAAAGTAGGTGCCAGACAAATCCACCATCACACTTGATCACTATCTCTCTATGGACTCTGCTAGAAACAGACCCAAACCCTGAACCCAAGAGCCCTGGGAATAGCCGAATCTCCCAACCAGCAGAACTGCTCCCAGCTCAAGCCCTCACAGCCATCACTGGGATAAGTGATCGTTTTGGAGAAAGGGCCCAGCTTCCTTATCAACTGCAGCAATTGTTGACCAAATGCTAGCAATAAGCTGATAAGCACAGGAACCCTGAAAGTGGCAGCACCCTACCGCCATCAGACCACCAGCCCTGCTTCCAGCCCAGTCCTCACAGGCTGGATGAATGAACTGCTGCCGAGAAGGAGCCAGCTATTCTCATCAACTACCAACCAACGGAGTCAAGCTGGCCTGGCAAAGCCCGGAGAGAGAGGAAGGAGGCAGTAGGTGCCAAGCACATCAAACCACTTCCTCCCTGACCATCATCTCCCTTCAGACCCTGAGACAGACAGCCCAGGGACTCTGAATCCAAGATCCTGGGGAATGGCAGTGCTGCCAGTGTCTGCAGATATCATTCTGGGAAGAAGTCCTTAAGGAGATACAAGCCAATAACTGCCCCTACAAGGTATTAGTCACAGTTACTGAAGAGCCAGAAAAGAAAGCTCTTGCCACCAAAGCCCTTGGCACTATCAAATGGTTCAGTATCAGAAACTGATTAACCTTAACAGTGAAATGATATTATCCACTGAAATGATGCCAGAGAAGAGCCATCATTACCATCTGCTTTGCTGCTGTATCCCAAGGACCATGGGACCTTTCACTCTGACTTGCACATGCAATCTTCCCCATTAGAATGTGAGCAGCTTGAGAACAGGGACATTCTTACTTTTCTATTTATTTCCCTGGAACTTAGCACAGTGCTTTGCACATTGTAAGCACTTAATAAAGGCATCATGCATTCATTCATACATTCATAGTTCTCTGTTACTGATAAGGCCCACTATCAAATATAGCCCCAACCAACTTTTATGTATTTTATTTTCCACTAATCCCCTGAATAAAACTTTTTGCCTTAGCCATAATGGTTTACTCACTTCTTTGAACTGGTTATGTTTTCCCTTTTCTACAGCTTTGCCTAGCATACCTTCCATCTGTAATGTTCTTTCACCCAGCTTTCTTAATCTCATGTGCCCTTTAAGGCTCAGACCAAACGTTACCTTCCCTGTCAAGACTTCTGTCACCAACCTAGTCCCCTAGGAATCTTTTTTCTTCTATAGTACCTGAAAGGCAGATTAGTGTACTGGAAAGAACACTAAATTTGCTTTTGTTTTGTTTGTTTTGTTTTTTTTTTTGCTTTTTTGGTGAGGCAATCAGGGTTAAGTGATTTGCCCAGGGTCACACAGCTAATAAGTGTCATGTGTCTGAGACTGGATTAGAACTCACATCCTCCTGACTCCAAGGCCAGAACTTTATCCACTGTGCCACCTCGCTGCCCCTAAGAACACAAAATTTGGAATGACTCAAGTCACCCCAAAAATGAGTAGAAAGACACAGGTCACTCAAGTCATCCCAAAAATGAGTAGAAAGACACAGGTCTCAATCATAGGACTATCATTTAATGCTTAAAATCTCTGAACCTTTGTTCTCTTATCTGTACAGTAAGGATGAAAAGGATGCCTATACTTTATACCTAAAAGGATTTCTTTCAAATATCAACTAAGAATATATAGAAATCCCTGTATAAATATTAGCTACTAAAGCTATTTGCTATACTACTCCTTGAGCATTTATTGCACTTTCTTATCTTATTGGTTTTTACACATAAAAGACTTGTCTTTCCAAATGAAAGATTATACCAGGGGTGAGGAGCTTGCAGTCTAGAGGCCATACGTGGCCTCATAGGTCCTTGGGCGCAGTCTTTTGACCGAGCCCAAGTTTTACAGAACAGATCCTTTTATTAAGGGGATTTGTTCTGTGAAATTTGGATTCAGCAACGGGCCATGCTTAAGGACCATTCCAGAGGGCCACGTGTGGTCTCAAGGCCACAGGTTCCCCACCTCTGGTCATTATACACACCTTTTACATCTTTGGATCCCAGACTCCCTATTCCGCTTAGTACTCCATAAATATTTAATTTACTGATAAGTCATCAGACAAATGAATGGTTCCAAAAGCAGATTGGATCTGAAATTTGATTTAAGGTTTTGCAATGCAAAAGCTACTTCCTATCAACACCCCATGAGGTTCTTATTAATTTATGTAGACTAATCAACAGTAACACATCTATGACATTACATTCCTTACCCCTTTCCAGTAAATCAAGATGCCAAATTCTATATATCTTCACCTAAGTCATTCAGGTTATATAAAGGAAGACAGAATGCTTTCAAGTTGAGAAATCATAAGAGAGAGAGGCATGGCTCAGCAGGTCAGTCATTTTTCTGATGGATAAATCAGATGTCAGACTGTATCCAATTTCATCCCCCGATACAAATTCAGGCAGTGATCTTTGATCAAAAGTTATCCCCTTTCAGATTCTAGTTATAGCCTGGGGAAACAGTAGTGCTGCCAACTTGGTAATCTACTTAAAATGTATACATATTTAACAATGATGGCAGCTAAGATTCAGGAAAAATCTTTAGCCATTTAATGTCTGAACTGTTTTAAATACTCCAGTTAACCTCAACAAATTTGCATGTGTTTAATCACAGTTCAAACAACTATTTGGTAGGAAATGTCTTTCTGGGTTTTGTTAGCCTTGTGTGGCCCCTCTACTTCACTGTTTACTACACGTTCAAAACTTGATGGGAACATATTATCAGTACTCCATCCACTATTCTACCCTAATTTCTCCAGGCCTTCCCATGCCATATGACTTCTATCTATGTCTTTCCATGAACTTCCAACCTAGAATCTTCCTAATATGTGCCTAAACCTATCTCTGGTTCTCTCATTACTTCATGAATAACCTCATTGAACTCAGGCTATCTCTGTGTTGTTCCTCATTCTAACTACATGACCAGTCTACCTCCTTTTCTGAATATAAATGTGCCTGATGACATCTGTTACATCACTCCTTGCATGTGAATTGTTCCTGGTAATATGCTGAAGCCTGTTCACTAGGATAATAAATGTACCTTCCATTGTTCTTTTGGTCACTTGCAAATTTCATTCTTCTGAGAACCTATTTTTCCATGAATCATGGAAAAGATATGATGGGAGATATTGGAGATCATGAAAGATTGACATTAAAAAGATGACTTTTTGCCGAGGTGGACAATGTGAGGTCCTTTAGTAACATCAGTTTCCCAAATGATTCAGCCAGGTATCTTCCTCTTATTCAACTTAGACCATAGTTCACTGGTCCTCTGCAGTAGCTATTCATGATATAACTGATGAACTTTTTGCTACAGACCGAAAATTGAGGACCAAAAATTTCAATAATTTCTAGTCTACCTTCTAGTCTTTGTATCTTTTCATGGACTGCATCCTCATGCCTAGAATATACTCCCCTTCTCACCTCCATCTTTGAGGTTCCCTGGTTTCCTTCAAAACTC